TTCGTAGTGAGGATTATAGGCATGAGTCACAGGTGCCCCATTTTTTGTGGGGGGCAGGGAGGACAGGTTCCTGCCGTGTAGCCCGAGTAGCCTGGTGATGTCCCCACAGCCTCATGAGGGTGGGAATTACAGGTGTGCACCACTACACTTGGTTGTGTATGCTTTTTTGAGGGCTATCAACTTCTTTTTAGTTATAAGAAAGAGGAGTGAGCCATCGTTCGCTGATTTTTTTTCTTTTTGTGTGTATGAGCTGGTCCTGGGGCTTGAACTCAGTGCCTGGGTGCTGTCCCTGATCTCTTTTGCTCAAAGCCACTTGAGCCACAGCTCCACTTCCAGCCATTTTTTGGTGATCAATTTAAGAGTCTCACAGGTTTTCCTGCCCAGGCTGGCTTTGAACCGTGATCCTCAGCCTCCTTAGTAGCTGGGGTTGCAGGCATGAGCTGCTGGTGCTGAGCTTGCTTGCTGCTTTTAAAACTCTTTGTGTTCTTGCAGTGGAGGGGTCCTGATGAGCAGCGCTGGATGCAAGCTGGGCCGGGCGCAGTTCGGTACTGAGCAAGCGCCCGGTCTGTGTGAGGCTCGGGTCTACCCCAGGGCCGCCAAAAAGTAAAATCCCAACCAACCCTTAGATTCCCCTGCCTGGTGTTGTCACTCATTGGCTGGACTTTTCCCCAAGACTTTCTTCCAGTTTCTTAATTTTTTGAACCAGTATCAGGGTTTTACCTTCTTAGTTGGCTTTTTCTCTCATGCTGGTGCTCTACTACTTGAGCCACAGCTCCACTTCTGGCTTTTTGGTGGTTAATTGGAAATAGCCTCTCAGACTTTGCTGCTGGGCTGGCTTTGAACCGGGATTCTCAGCCTCCTGAGTTGCTGGGATTAGAGGTGTGAGCCGCCAGCGCCTGACTTGCAGTTACCTTACAGTGAAAGACATAGCTGGCAGTGTGCAGGTGAAACTTCTGGTCTGACTGTGCGACTCTGCCTGGCCCTGGACCGTGGGACGGAGCCCGTGTCCAGGCCCGACTTCCCGTCCCTGGGTACCCCTGCAGGGGAACCATGGGTTAGCAGGCTCGTGTGGTTGGTCCTCCTTTGGCCTGACGCCTTCACGATGTTTTCACGTATGTGTGTGCACACGTGCGCCCGCACGGTGTGGCATTTGGAATATGAACCCAGGACTTCACCCTTGCTCAGTAGGCTTGAGCCACACTCCGGTCCTTTTGCTTTTAGTGTGTTCTCGGCTGCCCTTGTGCTTTTGCCTGGGCTGACCTCAGACCAAGATCTTGCCATCAGGCCGAGGCTGAGGCTTGGTACCGTGGTCTTTATTGTCGTGATTCCATCGCCGGCAGAACCGGCTGTCGGTCCATTCTCCGGTTTGCTTGTGCTGGGGCTGTCAGGGCACCATGTGGGAACAGGGCGGGTCCCCGCAGGACGGGGGTTCGCGCGGCACAGGCTCCTGAAGCGTGCGCTCCCGTTCCTATCCACGCTGAGAAGGGGCCGCCGTTTAAAGCACACCAGAGGCTTTTCTCCGATGGCGCCCATCGGCGGCAGGTGACCTCATGTTCGTGTTTGTCGCCGGGTTGTAGCGTGCGAGCCGGCGCAGGGTTGGGGCACGGGCGGCGTGCGCGTGCGCAGAGGCCGGCCCGATCCACGGGCAGCATCCCGGCGGCTGGAGCCCCGTCCTCGGCTCGGGCCGCAAGCCCCCGGCCAGGCTGGCCACCAGCGGGAGGGCCGCGGTCCGATCCTCTTTCCGTCTTCTCACCCCGAAGCAAACGCCAGTGGACACCGGTGGCTGACGCCTGTCACCCCAGCTACTCGGGAGGCTGACGGTTCAAAGCCAGCCCGGGCAGGAAGGCCGTGAGCTCGGGGAGTGGGGCTGCGGTTCATCGGGTAGAGCCGAGCCGCTCCGGGCGAGCTCCGGGCCCGGGCTCGGGGCCAGCGCGCACGCGCGCGCGCACACACAGGCACGCACGCGCGCGCGCACACACAGGCACGCGCGCGCGCGCGCGCACACACAGGCACGCGCACACGTGCACGCACTGAATAAAAAATAAACCCCAAACCTTCTGCGCGAGGCCTAGGGACCGCAGCTCTAGAACCTTCTGGAGAGAGCCCTTCCTGGGCCGTGACATTTGAAGAGCAGGATGCGGCCTGCGCGGCTCTGCCGCGGTGCCATTAGCCACCGCCGGGGAGGGGGGGGCCGCCGTCAATTATTCACCGAGCACTTAGCCGCGGGGGGCGCCCTCCCCCTCCGTGCCCACAGGGACCCTCCCCCCCCCCCCCGCCGTGCCCGGGCCGCCCTCCCTCCCCCCCCCCGCCGTGCCCACAGGGACCCTCCCTCCCCCCCCGCCGTGCCCGGGCCGCCCTCCCTCCCCCCCCCCGCCGTGCCCACAGGGACCCTCCCTCCCCCCCCGCCGTGCCCGGGCCGCCCTCCCTCCCCCCCCCCCGCCGTGCCCGGGCCGCCCTCCCTCCCCCCCCGCCGTGCCCGGGCCGCCCTCCCTCCCCCCCCCCGCCGTGCCCGGGCCGCCCTCCCTCCCCCCCCCCCGCCGTCCCCGGCCCCTCCTCCCCCCCAATGTCCAAAGGCCGCCCTCCCCCGTCCCTGCGGGCCTCCCAAGGCCTCTCAGCAGGGGCTGCCTCCCGTCCAGCCCCGAGGCCACAACGGCCAGGACAGCGGATGCAGTGGCTCATTTCTGGATCTTTCGGTTCCCCCGGCTTGGGTGTGACCCCCAAATCGGGCCGTCGAGCGGCGCGAGGCCTCGAGGCCCCGCCGGCCCTCCACCTCCCTAAGTGGCACCCGGTCCGGGCTCTGCCGCTCCCCTCCGGCTCTGTTCCAGTCCGTCTGGAGCGCGGGGCTCCGACTAGTCGGTGCTGGGAGCTGAACGCAGGGCCCTGGGGCCGCCATCCTGCCTCCAGCACCGGAGCGTGGACGCGGACGCGCGCGCACGGGGCACGCGGACGTGGACACAGATGTGCACACATGGGAAGTGTTGACGCGGACACAGACATGCACGCGTGTGGGGTGGTGCAGACATACTACACCCACACACAGGGTGCGGACGTGGACTGCATGCACAGGGAGCGTGGACATGGACACCGATGTGCGTGCACAGGGAGCGTGGATGCGGATTGCGCACAGGGAGAGTGGACACGGATGTGCGTGCACACGGAGCGTGGATGTGCAGGAGAGCGTGGACGTGGACACGGATGTGCACGCACGGGGAGCGCGGATGCAGACGTGTGCGTACACGCGGAGGGTGGATGCGCAGGGGAGCGTGGACGTGGACACGGATGTGCACGCACGGGGAGCGCGGACGCGCAGGGGAGCGTGGACGTGGACACGGATGTGCACGCACGGGGAGCGTGGACGCGCAGGGGAGCGTGGACGTGGACACGGATGTGCACGCACGGGGAGCACGGACGCAGACGTGTGTGCACGGGGAGCAGGCCGCCTGGAGGCGCAGGCCGCGGTCGCTGGAGATGGCCGGCTTGCATGGCCAGGGTATTCCAAGGGGCCTGGGGACGGGCGCGGGCGCGGGCCCCGCACCCGCCGAGTGGCAGCCGAGCACGCACGGCTTGGCCTCTGAGAACAGAGCGGTACATTTCTGTTACTCCACAGTCCACGCCCCGGCACGATGGCCGCCTAGACCAGCGTGGTCTCACACGCTGAACGCGAAATGGGACACTCCAGAATCAAGCAGCACTTAGGCTTTAAAGATTCAGCCTCGGGGCCGGGAAGGTGGCTCAGTGGTATGGCGAGCGCTGGCCTTGAGCTGAAGAGCTGAGGGACGGCGCCCAGGCCCAGAGTTCAGGCCCACGATGGACAAAAAAAGAAAGAAACAAAGAGCCGGGCGCCGGTGGCCCAGCCTGACATCCCAGCTACTCAGGAGGCTGAGATCTGAGGATCGCGGTTCAAAGCCAGCCCGGGCAGGGGAGTCCATGAACGCTGGGCGGGGCGCCGTCCCGCAGCTCTTCAGCTCAAGGCCAGCGCTCTACCACTTGAGCCACGGCGGCACTTCCGGATTTTCGGGGTATGGGTGCTGGGGAATCGAACCCAGGGACTCAGGCCTGGTAGGCCAGCGCTATACCCGAGCCACCGTGCGCACACACGAAGCAGTGTCACCCACGACCAGTGGTGACGGCCCTCCCCATCTCCTCTCTTCCGTGAGCGTTGTCACCCTGGCTTCACCCTGGCTGTCACGCCGGGGTCACGCTGGGGTCACGGTGCCTGCCCGTCTTCCCTCAGGCTCCCGATCGCACCTGCGGGGCTGCAGCGCGGGCTCCCGGCCGGCCCGCACCAGGGTCCCTGGGTCAGGTCCCCGCCGGTGGGGGAGGGGAGATGGGAGCCGGGAGCGGCCAATGAGGTGCGGGGCTGAGCCGGGAGCGGCCAATGAGGTGCGGGGCTGAGCCGGGAGGGCCCCGTGAGAGGCGGGGCGCCGCTGGGCGAGGCCCACGAGGGGCGGGGCTGGTCTGGGCGTGGCCTAGCGGGGGGGGGGCCCTCGCGTGGCCTGGGGCGGGGCGGGGCGGGGCGGGGCCGCTCCGCCCCTCCCAGCCCTCCCCTCCCCTCCCCTCCCCGCCCCTCCCGCCGTCCCGCCCCGCCGCCCCTCCCCGCCCCTCCCCTCCCCGCCTCTCCCGGCCCCTCCCCACCCCTCCCGCCGTCCCGCCCCTCCCCGCCCCTCCCACCCCTCCCGCCCCTCCCCTCCCGCCCCGCCGCCCCTCCCCGCCCCTCCCGCCCCTCCCCACCCCTCCCGCCGTCCCGCCCCTCCCCTCCCGCCCCGCCGCCCCTCCCGCCCCGCCGCCCCTCCCCGCCCCGCCGCCCCTCCCGCCCCGCCGCCCCTCCCGCCCCGCCGCCCCGCCCCTCCCCGCCCCTCCCGCCCCGCCGCCCCTCCCGCCCCGCCGCCCCGCCGCCCCTCCCGCCCCGCCGCCCCTCCCGCCCCGCCCCTCCCGCCCCTCCCGCCCCGCCGCCCCTCCCGCCCTCCCGGCCCGCCGCCCCTCCCGGCCGGCCCGCGCACTCGGCCGTGCTGGTGGCCGCGGCCCCGCTCCGAGGCGGGATGAGGAAGGACGAGTCGTTCCTGGGCAAGTTGGGCGGCACGCTGGCCCGCAGGAAGAAGGCGCGCGAGGGTGAGTCGGCCGGCCCGGGCCGGGCTGCGGGCCCGCCGTCCCGCCTCGGTCCCGCCTCGGTCCCGCGCGGCCTCGTCCACGACGCCCGGCCCGGCGGCGACCTCGCGGCGACCCCCGCCTGCGCGGGGTGCGGGCCCGCGGTGCGGGCGGTGCGGGCCCCGGCGCGCGGGGGTCGCCGGGCCAGAGCGGGAGGCGGCCGGGCCTCGGGCCGGGCGTCCGCCACGGTTCACTCCACCTCCTGGCGCGGGCCCCCGTGCGCTTCCGGGTGGGGGTCGGAGGGGGGAGGGAGGGGGGAGGGAGGGCAGGGGGGTGGGGGTGGGGAGGGCCGCAGGGGTGGGGAGGGCAGGGGGTGGGGGTGGGGAGGGCAGGGGGTGGGGAGGGCCGCAGGGACAGGGCTGCCCTGCTAGGGAGTGGAGGCAGCTACACCCGGCTGAGGGGTCTGTGGAAAAACAGCCCAGGGAGCTCTTGTTTTGTTTGCTTTTGTGCCTTCACCGGGGCTTGAACTCGGGGCCTGGGCGCTGTCCCTTGGCTTGTCACTCGAGGCTGGCGCTTTACCTCTTGAGCCACAGCGCCACTTCTGGCATTATGGCAGCTGATTGGACATAAGACGGCCTTGGACGTTCCTGCCGGGGCTGGCTTTGAACCATGAACCTCACATCCCAGCCCCCTGAGTAGCTAGGATTACGGTGTGAGCCTTGGGCACCCAGCTCCCGTGGGTTATTTTCAGGGTAGGGTCTTGCTCTGTGCCCAGCCTGGCTGGATCTGTGGTGTCACCGGGATTATAAGTATGAGCTACTGTGCTCAGCCTCTGTGCTTCCCACAGAGCTCAGATAACAGCTGAGAGCCAGGTTCCAAAACTTTCAGGTTCAGACTGGCATCTAGCCACTGTCCCCATTTCCCAAGTAGCCCCATTGCAGACTAGGGACACCGGGGCAGCCCCTCCACCCCCAGACTTTTCATCTGAATTAGATCATTCTGTTCCCCAGGGCAGGGCTTTATCTCTGCCTCCAGGGTTCCTTGGGAGCTCTCCAGCAAATTGGCCCCACCTGCCTCTTGGCCGAGCGGAGAGCTCGGGGCTGACTTTAATCTTAGGCTTGTGTCAACCACCTTCCCTCCCCCACTCCTGTGGGGGTGAATCATCTAGGTTCCTTTTAATGCTTTGGGAAAATTATACTCTCAAATCACCCCTCCCGCCAGGCGCTGGTGGCTCACGCCTGTAATCCTAGCTACTCAGGAGGCTGAGATCTGAGGATCACGGTTCAAAGCCAGCCCTGGCAGGAGAGACCGTGAGACTCCTATCTCCAATAAACCACCAATAAAGCCCCACGACCGACAAAAAAAAAAAAGAAAGTCAAATCACCCCTCCCGATTCCGTTGCCCAAGCTGGCCCTGAACTCTTGGATTCAGTGATCGTTTGGCCTCAGCCTACTAGTATGTTCAGTAGTATTGCTAAATCCTCGTGAGGTGTGCGCGGTCAGACCCGGCAGTCTGTGAAACCGGCTCATTCTGTGGAACTGGCGCCATGTCTGATGCTGCGGGTCAGGGCCTGGGCAGTGCAGGTGACACCCTGGCCAGGGCTAGAGCAGGAGTCATGGTGTGTGACCAGGCCAGTCACTTTGGGTGGTCAGAAGGGTGCACAGGGGAGGCCTCCAAAGGGGTGAAGTTGGTGTTGAAGTGTAGCAAAACCAGAGAAAGAACTGCTCTGCACAACAGCCAGGCTGCGTCCTGTGCTGGATGGCTATGGCTGTGTGTGTGTGTGTGTGTGTGTGTGCGCGCGTGCACGCGCACACATGTGTGTACACATACATGTGCATGCACCATCCTGGGTCTGACTCAGGGCCTGGACACTGTCCTCAGCTTTTTTGCTCAAGGCTGGTGCACTACCATTTAAGCCACATCTCTATTTACAGCTTTTTTTTTTTTGTCTGTTGAGGGGCCTGAACTCTGGGCCTGGGCGCTGTCCCTCAGCTCTTCAGCTCAGGACCAGCACTACTTCTGGTTTTTATTGGAGGTAAGAGTCTCACAGACATTCCTTCCCAGGCTGGTTTTGAACCGTGATCCTCAGATCTCAGTCTCCTGAGTAGCTAGGCTGACAGGCGTGAGCCATGGGTGCCTGGCTTCCCCATTGCTTTTATGAATGGATGTGTGCCTGGAAGATGAGGGCTGGGCTGCCCTCCCTCCTGATGCAGGCCACAGCTGGAGCCAGATGCTGAGGGCTTTGCTGTCAGTGACTTAGGAGTCCCCTGTTTTGGTTCCCGAGGTTGGGGTGCCCATCGCAACCAGAAGGCCGCAGTGCCTAACTGGTCTTCAAGGCAGAAGGGAGGGGCAGTTGGGGCGGGGCAGTGAGGGAGGGGAGGAGAGTGAATAATGATCATAAGGTCGAGTAATGAGAGCAGCAGGGCCGCCAGTGGGGCGGCTGGCCTGTTGCCATGGCAACGCTCTCCTGGCTGTGGTTGGGGCCCTTGTCTGCAGGGAATGACCAGGGGGCAGGAGGGGGGAGGGGGCTTCCTGGCCCTCTCCCCCAGCTGCAGCCGGATTCATTTCCTTCCGTGTTAGCCAGCCCTGGGTGGACTGGAGAGAGCGGACGTGACTGGACACTTCCTGAGCGGGGACCCCGGGGGAGGGGCGGGTGCAGCTCGGTGCCGGCCGCAGCTCGGTGCCGGCCGTGGGCATGGCCCACCCTGGCTGGTGGGGTGAGGGGGCTGGGAGGGGGTGCTGGGGATGTGGGGTGAGCCAGGGGTGCAGCAGTACCCCACAGTGAGCCCCACTCCCCAGGGTGACCTAGGCTCCCAGTCCCCAGCACCACAAGAGCTCGGGAAGGGGAACCCACCGGCTGTGACCCTCGGAAAAATAGTTGGGGACACCTAACTGTCCCCCCAGAACCTCACACAAGGCGTGGGGACCCCAGAGGCCAGGGCACCAGAATCCTGACTCAGCCTTGCCAGAGGAGGAGGAGCAGGTGCAGGGGATTCCCTGAGCTGACCCCTTCCTGTGACCTTGAAGGACAGTCCAGAGGCCCAGCTGGCCTCAGGCAGGCAGGGACAGCCACAGCTTGATGTCTCCAGAGGCCAAACAGCCTCCAGAGAGGCCCAGCATGGAAGGCCCAGCAGAGCAGTCAGCTCTCCCCGCCGGCCAGGAGGCTGCTGGGGCCTGGAGACCATGCCAGGATGGGGCGGGCACATGTCTGTCTGTCTTTCTTTTTTCCTTCCTTCCTTCCTTCCTTCCTTCCTTTCTTTCTTTCTCTTTCTTCCTTTCTTTTATTTCTTCTCCCCTTTTTCCCTTTTTCCCTTTTTCCCTTTCTCCCTTCCTTCCTTCCTTCCTTCCTTCCTTCCTTCCTTCCTTCCTTCCTTCCTTTCTTTCTTTCTTTCTTTCTTTCTTTCTTTCTTTCTTTCTCTTTCTTCCTTTCTTTTATTTCTTCTCCCCTTTTTCCCTTTCTCCCTTCCTTCCTTCCTTCCTCTCTTTCACTCAGAAACTTGAGCTTTCTAGGTGGGTTCTTGATCACCCTCAGTCACAGTTTCTCAGGGGACCTAGACCCCAGAGCCAGGTGCACTTATTCCTTGGAGAAAATCATAAAGGAAGTTTCTATATAAATGACTTAATAAAACAAGACAAGACAGAAACTAGGTTGGGTGCCGGTGGCGCATGCCTGTCATCTTGGCTACTCAGAAGGCTGAGATCTGGAGACTAAGATTCTAAGTTGACCCAGGTTTAAAAAAAAAAAGCCTGCAAGACTCCATTTTAACCAAAGAAGCTGGGCATGGTGGTACACACTTGTAGTCCCGGCAACGACAGGAAACCTGAAATAGGAGGATCTGTGGTCCAGGAGTAGGGCTCAGATGGGACCTAATCCCCTGTCTCAAAAGAACCAGTGCTGCCAGGGGCTGGAGGTGGTGAACGCCCCCCTCACAGCCCCTCCATCAGCACGGAAGCCCCGTACGAGCCGCGCCGGCTGCACGGGCTGCGCTGCGCTGGGAGGGCCGGGGTGACGGCCGTCCCCCACGACAAGGTCGGACTTGCTGTGCACTGCAGGGCACCTGTCAGGTCCCCTTCCCCTGTTCATAGCAGGAAGGGTACGGCCTGCCCCCAGCCTGTCCGCAGGCACTGTGGCGGTCAGGGCTGGGCTTGCTCCTGGTGGCCCAGAGGCCCGGGGTGGGCCCGGGGGGCTATGAAGCCTGGGGACGCTGGCTCTGCAGGGTAGCTGCCCTGAACGGGGGCGCCCGTGCTGGCTGGACTCGCTCCACTTTTCTCTTGTCTTGTCTTGGTTCTGAGGCTTGGGCTCGGGGCCTCTTGCTTTCTCTTTGCCTTTTCATTCAAGGCTGGCACTGTACCACTTGAGCCATGCCTCCCCTCCACCTGGCCGCCTTTTTACAGTCTTAAGAGTTCCACGTGGAGGTTGGGCAGCCGGGCCTCAGGGTCTCAGCTGCCAGAGTCGAGGGAGGCCCCTGAAGCTCTGTGCACCCCATGCCAGCAGAGGGAGAGGCCACCCAGTTACACGCACACAGGGGTGCCCCGCGTCCCTGGAGGGAATTCAGCGAGTGCTGATTCTTCTCAGTTCCCCGGGATCCTGGACAGGAAGGGGGCCGCGCGGCCTCCTGGGGCGGGGTGTCAGGAGATGGCACACGAGGAGCCCGGCTCCTGCCGATCCTTCTGCATATCTGCAGGCAGAGCAGGCTGGGAGCTGGGGTGAGCGCACCTGCTCCAGCCCCAGGCCCCAGGATCCAGGCTCAGGCCTCGGCCTTCAGACTCCAAGATCGGGCTCAGGGCTCAAGCCCCGGGCTCAGGTCCCAGGCACAGGCATCAGCTTCAGGCTCAGACCCCAGGCTAGTCTGGTGGGAAGAAACTGGGAAGTGGAGGGATGTGAGCAGAGGATGGATGGGAGCCCAGTTTCTAGAATATTGGATAGGAGGCGCCAGCTACAAGGTTCTCTGCAGACTCTGCAGCCAAATGAGACAATTACATCCCCTTCCTCCAAACCCTGACTTTTTCTTACCTGTTGCTGG